AAACGTCAGTCACTATAAAAACGTGGTATAACAAAAATGAATCAGTCTTGGAATACCAAAACGCAAAATGACAGCTATGTAATTGAACGTATAATGACAGATTATGTAATGACGTATGGATGACAATTTGATATTTGTAAGAAAAATAAAAAAATAAATAAATTATATAAAAAACGCATAAACGTGCATTAGAAGCCACTTAACGAACATTAAAAGATTTACGCAATGACTCGAGATGTTTTGGAGGAGCAATGATTTTACTGTCTGGCGATTTCCGCCAAATACTGCCAGTAATTCCAAGATTACGGCTGCCGACGAAATAAACGCTTGCCTCAAATCGTCAAATCTATGGCGCTATGTGAAGAACTGCAACTGACAACAAACATGAGAGTTACATTGCTTAATGATACATCTGCTGAAGATTTCTCGAAGCAATTGCTGACTATCGGTAATGGTCAAGTACCTGTCGATGAATCGAGCGGATTAATATCATTTCCAAATAATTTCTGTAATTTTGTCTCATCAAAAGACGAACTTATCAACAATGTATTTCCAGAAATTATTTCTAACTACAAAAATAATGAATGGTTGAGTGAGCGAGCAATTTTAGCGGAAAAGAATAAAGATGTAGATGACCTAAACTTCATAAATCAAAATAAGATCATTGGAACAATGCATTCATTCAAATCTATTGACTGCGTCACAAATGAAGATGAAGCCACCAACTATCCAATTGAATTTTTAAACTCTTTGGACGTGCCTGGCTTAACCACCGCACAATTTACGCCTAAAGGTTGCTCCGGTAGTAATCATGCTTCGAAACATAAATCAACCAAAACTGTTGCAACGGTACGCGTTTGATGGTTAGAAAATTGATGAACAATGTAATTTACGCTACGATAATGATAGGAAAATTCAAAGGTGAGGAAGTTTCATTCGAGGATACCGATGATCCCAACAGAATATGTCGTTTGAATTTAAAATACTTCAATTTCCGATACGTCTTGCATTTCCATGACCATCAACAAATCACAAGGCCAATCCTTAAAGTTTGTGGTTAATCTAGAACATTCATGTTTTTTCTCATGGTCAGTTTATACGTGGCATGTCACGGGTCGGGAAGACCATCTGCGTTGTTTGTTTTTGCGCCTGATAATAAAACAAAAAATGTCGTGTATCACAAGGTACTTAAATGAAGAGCACCTATGTACTAAAATACAGAAATAATTATGAATGATTAATGTAGGTATTTAATTTTTTTTGTATTTTTTCCAAATAAAAAAAAACTGCTTATTTATTGCCATTAAGGTGGAACAAAGTTCGCCGGGTCATCTAGTACTTAATAAAGATCACACAGCGAAACGCACGCATATAAATACCGCAACTAAAAGTTCTCAGCGCAATTCAGTTGTTGCCTGATAGACACCCTAGCAGCGTCTTGTGGGGATTCATACAGAATTCATTCAGAAAACGTACAGACCGTGCATGCTCGAATTTTGGCTTTTAAACTTCCAATTTTGGATCTTGAAGTTTATGTTCACAAATTGTATGTGAATCTGCACGAAAACTGTACCGAGTATACCGGGCTTTACTTAACTTTCTTTTCTAGAGAAGTTCATTTTAAAGCGCTAGAAAGTGAAACTGAATATGTGCTTTTGGTGCTAAAGACGTGTACGAAGTAAAAAATAAATTCAGACCTATCACAACTCTTTAAAAAAAAAGTGTGTATCAAATTAGTCCCTCCTACATCTTAATATCGCAATGAATTTTGAACAGTATTTTATCTTTTGCTGTGCCTAAATACTGTAATATTTGCTATTTGCTTCTTTCAGGAGACGCCATTGACAAGAGGAACAGTAATGCAGTAGAAAAGAATTTACCTTGGTTTTTAACTGTGTATCAATTTTAATTTTTTAAAGTCATTTGGTGGCTCAGAGCGAAATGGCTTGCTTTTCACTACTTTGACTAATGTATTTATTTACTTCAAAAACAGTTGTTCCAAACCAGTTTGGCTCTTTCACAAGGGCTAGTCCAACCCCCTGTAAAGTTCCTGAACCCTACCCTAATCCTAATTCCTTCCCAATTCCTTCCCAATTCTCGCCGCAGGATCTGGAAGTAGGACGCGCATACGCGGAGCGCGCTACCTGCCGGTCCTCCTGACAACTGACTGCGACGAAACGTGACGATTATGACCATATTAATGGAGGAATACTCCAAGCGCAAAGCGCTCAAGGCCCCACAAGGAGATTGGAGCCGCGTTGCGTCTACGTAGACGCAACAATTAAAAAAAAGTTATATGGTTATGTGTTGTAAAGTAACGTATTATGCAAACAGCTAACATGTCTAATGGATAATTCGGTAGCTGCGAAACCTATGCACCTGGGTTCGAGTCACAAAGTTTATGTGAATTTCTTGTAGTGAGCTGCTGATATTGACACCTAATGGATGTGATTTCTACAACGTGTGTTGCAACTATAAATATCAGTATTGCACAAAGAGAGATGAAGCAAATATTTTTTGCAGGAAATATGAAGTTTTTGCATTGATTGTCGTGTATATGGCTGTAAGACATTTTCATGAATTTACTAGCTGTTTCTAAGCAACGTTCTTGAAAATTGATTAACTGAATGTCTTTCTAAATGAAGTTTTCGCAGAAATATCTAGCTTTGATATTAAATGTATAGAAACAGCTGAAACAAACAATTGAAATTTTACAATTTTCATAATTCCAAATATTTGTATAATTGATCTTACGTCATTTTGCTTAGCAATCTTAACTGTATTGGAGCCAAAATAAAGGAAAAATGGAACAGTCATGATAAAATATTCTTTATGTATTTTTTTGTCTTGGAACGATTTCACTGCCGGTCTGGATTGCCAAGGTCGCTAAGGCTGAAGGGCCGTGGCTATGGGTTCGAATCCCGCCCCAGACATGGATGTTTGTGCGTGTTTTTGTCCTTAAGTGTACCCCGTATAGTTAGTACCTAGGCTGTGGCGTCTTTGCCGGGGCAATAAATCGCAGACGTGAACCGTTTGTCGTTTATTGAGTATTTATTTGAAATATCCTCCAACACAATACTATTTACAATAATTACAATAAACAATATTGATCCGTTACCAGAAGGAATGTTCCTGGTCACCACTACCGCCGGCCTGATAATTTGATATCTTAGTCGTTGGGATGCACCAGTGGCATACGTGAGCATACAAGCGAGTATGCTGTACCTCCCGTCTCGTCGTAGCACGCCGACTTCAGTCCCCTGCCTCAGTAGCCTATGCATTGAAATGCAGCGCCGCTCTCAACCCACACGATCTCCTACCGACGCGCCCAAGAATCAGGAGGAGGAGTTTAGGTCCGGGGTCCGTTTATATTACCTTCTGGGCAGGCTGACGGAACTGCGTCATCTCGCTGTTTCCGCCGACGCGTTTCCACAGTCAGCATGTCTACGGGGTTCACAAGTTTGCCCCAAGTGGTCTACGGGGTTCACAAGTTCACCCACGACACAGCACCCCTTCCCTTCCGCTCCCTAGGTTTGCCATTGTTCAGCCCGGCGCCCCCTTCCCGCCAGTGCTGCCCTCTGTCGCAACTACTTCCTCGTTTATTTCATGTACATGAAATGTACGTGGCTAACATTTTGTCACGTTTGTACAAGGTGAGTAATATGACGCCACAGGCTATCCGGGACAAGCTGCGTCACTGGCATGGTGACTAACGTTTCGGTCAGCGTATTGTGGCCTCCTTCAGAGCGTACTGCTGCATCATATGAACAATGCTTCAGAACCATCAAAAAGACAATAAGTTTTGTTTATAATCGGACGTTATCAATACATTGTAGCAACCATTCCTCCGTTCGAGCGAGGGAGTGAAAGAAATATGTGAAACTGTTTTTTGGAAAATCTTTTAATGCATTTGTTCTTACTTGTCACATTGTCACTTAAAGTACACTAAAATGACTAATACTTTGAAAGAAACGAACATGACAGTATTTGAGAGTAGAACAGATTTTGTTGCCAATTTTTTTTATCTTCAGTAATTGAGTTTAAGGGCCGAAAAAAAAATTCCACAATTTTCGACAATTTTGAAGCATTAATGAAAACGGCGCTGAGTATTTTTATAAAAGTACTTCGTTCCATTTCAGAATTAGAAAAAGAAATGGTTATCTCTAAAAATATTAAAATACTCGTTTCAAATATGAGCAGTGACATCTAGATCGATCGAGAAAAATCGTATTTTGTGAAAATCATGAGCAATTATATCATGATTATCATTGACTAACTGGAAATCAATTTTTATGGTCAATCTGTACACGGTTTAGACATTAGTGTTATTTAGAGGCATGATGACATTGATGAAAAATCCTTTTTGTATAAGTGATCCATCCATAAACTGTGAATTTTGTCGAAGTAATTTACTACATATATGCGTACGTTTTTTGGATTTGGGACCAATGGAACGTAGCCCGATATTTTCCCCCTGCAGCAGTATATAAAATTATCATTCTGCGAAGTAAACGGTAAGTAAAATGTTCGCCAGTTTTGAGATTCAAACTCCCATCTAAGAGCATTAGAATCATGCCGTAATCACTACGTAAACTTCATTAAATACTCCCCTTGTGAAGTATGCATTTGATAATGGAAATATTTAAGCGATAACTCTTGCGATTTCGGGAATCTTCATAAAAGCATATCGGGCATTTATATCCATTAACAATCAAGTAATGTAATACGTCCGCAATGTCAATATTAACATGCGAGATGTTAAGAAAAGGTATAATGTTTAAAATTCAAAAGTTTGAATAACTTAAAATTAAAAATAAAAATAAAATGAGGTTATAATGAAAATGACACTTCTACCAATAAGTCAGTGTTATTGTTGTATCTCAGTTATTAATTATTTTGTTATTGTCTCGTTGAGCTTTCCTTAACATTTAAATGCTGTTAATTTGTAGTCATTAGAAACTACAAAATTGAAGTGAACACTTTTTTTCTATTTCTTTCAGTTACTCCGACCAACAGAACGAAGCACTCTCCTCCATCGCCTCTCAGATTTTCACCTTACTGATAATGAATGCAACTGGAGGTTTCGCAGTAAATTAGCTGAACAGTTGCATCACTCTCTTGTGCTTTTTGCACCAGAAGATACACATGAGCATATTACGCCATTAGCAATTGCTTTATTAATGGATAAAGTTGCAGCAGTTAGAAAAAAAGCTTTGTGTTTGGTAAGTAATATCTTTCAAGCATAGGAATATTATCTTTGATTTTCCTTACATGTAAAAATCTGATTGTTGCCTAATCTCTGTCTGCACCTGTATTTTATCTTCTCATATCTTTAAAAGTGAAGCTCATTTTTGCAGTAATTTTGATCTAATAGTTCGGGAGGTAGTAACAGAAAATTTGAGGTGATTTATAAGGGGATGCAATTGGAGTTAAATTTTTTAACGTTTCAAAAAATGGCAGAAATTGTTGATAAAACTTTGGCTTGATAAAATGACGCGTAAAAATGGTACCAGTCTAAGACTATGTAAAAGTTTTCGAAACTCGGGGTAAGTTTCCGCCTAATTTTGACTGCAATGTAGGCAATTTTTAAACAATTATTTTCTCAAAAAAGTGCTTCTAGAAATTTCCTCTTTGTTTGAATCAAAGAACGGTGAAAAACGTATTGCTCTCCCCATTTCCGGCGAATTCCCTGTATTTTAGAAAATTGCAAAAACGTTAACATATCAAAATTACAAATTTGATTAGAATTTTTTGCAACAAATTAACTTTGTTCTAAACTAGTAGTGCTACAACATGTTGAACATTTTTTAAGTGTCGGGACGGTTGAGTTTAACTGTATGGCTGGTGTTATAGGGTGACTTAAATAGCATACGGCCTGGAAGACCTTTACTTCGAATCTCAGTGCGGAGAATACATTTTTGCTGTTTGGATGCACTTGTGCTTCATGTAATATTACGCAGCCATTATAAGTAATGCGAGAAAATGTGTTGTTTTAGTTGTATCACTAGTTATTTCATCGTTACTATCTAGGCAGTAAAAAATGTATTATTAAACTGCAACGAGAAACGGCGATTTTTCGATAGAAAATTCGCTTTGTGGGTGTTTGGTAACGAAAACGTTTGCTTCTATGTAATAAATGGGTCTCGCGAATACGTTGAGTCGACAGAAATCACGTTTTTTCAGTCATTGGTCCGAAAAAAGTGGTCCTCAGTAAGCCGTGTTTACGTCTGTGATATTCAGCACTTTCCTAAACCGCTTATAGGATTTTAACCAAAATTGATATTCCGCAGTCGATCTGGGTGGTGTCACGCCCCCTGGATTTTGGAACTGATATTGTAATTTCAGCGGGGGACTTCATATGCCCCAACGATATTTTAAAATTTTGTTCCCAAAATGACTCCAAATTTTTGGTTTAATTTTCTTGCTCGATTAAAGCAGTGTATCCATAAAGGGTGCACCACATAGGACGGCCACAGCGAATATCTTCGAAATTGTTTGTCATATCGGAATCTGGTTTATGCCAAGTTGTTGTGGATGATATGGGTAATAATTTAGGCAAATATATCGTGGTTTTCAGCTGCTCCTGTCTGGGCAGGATGACTGCGAATTAATATATCGACATCCTCAAAAATGATGTGTTATCAATGACTAGCATATTGTTGCCAAAAGTTGCATACACATTTTGGCAAAACTAGCATATTGTTGCCTATTCCAAGATGATAGTGCGCCTATATACAGCGAAAAAGGTGCAGATGTGGTTTCTGGAGCATCAGAAAATCATGAAAAATCTGAGTCGGCCGTCGCTCCTGCAGCGCCGTGTGCTGCTTACTTTTCCGGGTGCGTGATGTTTGCGCGTAGAAATGTTAATAAATATCATTAATTGAGATTTTGATGTGCAGAAGAAATCTGAGAAAAGGAAAGTGTGACTTTTTCAGAATGCATGAATGATTGTGCATCCTTCAGAGGCGCAGGGCCGGACGGCGCGCCGATCATGCCGGCGGGTGATGCCATTAGCTCTGTTCCAACAAAGCAAGGAGGAAAAAATTGCTGACGGGCTTCCAAATGCCGTATAGTGTCATGTAAAGTCTAGTAACTTGCAAACTCGTGTGATGTCTTCACAAATGTGTTCAGTGCAGCCTAACAGTGAATAAATACTAAATTAGACACAAGTGCGGCTCAATGTGGGTCGTTACCAGTGATGGCGCGTAGCACTTGCGATTGTAGTGAAATAGTTACATTGTTCGAAGCAAGGTTCCTAACCACAGATTTCAAGCTTTAATCTTATCAAAATTAAAAGTATTTTGCATAATGTGGAGCTCTGATTATTTCAAGAGTTTATTTCTAAGGTTTCAACGTAAAATATGCCATCTTCGGACAAATGTAGCGCACCTTATTGAATCAAATTAGCACTGTGTCATGATCATAAAATTGTTGTGGGGTAACGTGGGCTCCGTTAGCCAAAAATCCGTTGCTAAAAGTATCATTAAACAATATTTATTATGTCTATAAAGTAGTGGGAAATGCCGTAAAACGGGGTGTTTATGGGTTTGTGGGCCCATTTGAAATCTATTTTGTTGTGTTCTTGTACCGAAAACTTTTTTCGCTAAGCCATTGAATTCGATTTTTTCGATACAGCCGATATGTGGACCAAACGTTCAAAACGTGATATGTACACATCACACTTTTACGATAAAAATAAATAAATGTATTGCACAAATTTTACACTTTTTACGCCATCATTACCTCGACGAATACATTACTACTTAATATATTGTCATCTCGGGGTTTTACCTGAAGTTAGAATTCTAAGTAAAAACAACACAACTCAATTTTTGCCAAATGCACAAGTCACCTTTTGAATCTGTGCTCATATATGAATGATATGTATATGTACAGGATGTCCGGGGAGGAAACGTCGAAAATAAGCTGTTAACACAATTTTAAGAATATTTTGTCTTTAAAACTTCTTCGGTATAAAGATACAAAAAAATACTTGCGTGTATTGAACGTATCATATCATTTTTATAAGGGAGATAAGTAGAAAAGGACCTTATCTTAAACAAAAAAAAAAAAAAAAAAAAAAGATATTTTCAAACCTGAAACTCTAAAGCACTTCATTTCACAACAAAACCCAGAAACGTTGATTATCAAATTTTGTCTACTTTAATTTTGAATAGAACATGATTTTCGGTAGGATTTATTTTTTTCATTCGATTTGTCTAATTTGCCTGGGCTAATTGTTGTACCTAAGGATGTCCCTAGGTACATTAGTGTAGTACTAAATTGAATTCAATTGGTTTTAGGATGTAATTTGGCCATGCCACGAAGCAAAGGAAACAAGGAAAGGTCTCTTAGTAGAAACATTTAATAGTGCATTGTGGACTGTTGTTAAAGATCCTATGTTAATTCGTTGTTCAGCAATAGTTCAGATAAAGAAAAGGAAGAATCTGAAAACTTCATTGCGCAATATTTAAAAAATGCATGGATAACGACTCTCTCATTCTAAATTGATGAAGGTTCTGCAAGATTCTGAAGTTGATATGGAGGACATACAAGTTATGTTCCCTGACCCATCTGTGTTGGGTTCTTCTCAAAGGCAGCAAACATTTATTGTTTTTCCTGTTTCCTTTGCAAGCTGTGATGTAGGGTGAAGTGGTTCCTTTTAAGAAATGCTGTTGTTATATCCAATGAAGTTGACATGGAGGACAAAACGTAAGCTCCAGAATCAGTGTTAGATTGTAATTAATTATAACCAAAATGCAGGGTTTTTTCTCTGCACAGTATATATTATAGTATTAGTTAAAAACCCCTTTGTTTTAATATTATTGTCGTATTTGCTCCATGGAAAAAGAACATACATTTATTCTGTTGTAGTTTTTTTTCTGTTTCCTACATTGTCCCCAGGTACATCATTGTCTCTCCTCGGGTACATCAGTACGAGTCGTATGATGTACCTAGTGTTAATGTTACTCCGCACTTGATTCAGTAAGAAGGGTAGGGTACGACACGATTGTGCTCCGATGTATTCGGGCACGATTGAGTGGTTCTCTACCGTTGCAAGGAAGATCGTGTATCTGTCGAGGCACGTCAGATGCCTAGTGCGAGTCGGCCTCGTTGGCCAATCGCGTGCGCAGCCGCAAGGCGCATGTTGAGAAGGGGGCTGAAGTTGGATAGCTCCAACAAACGCCTTAGAGTGAGGACCTGTAAAAATTGTAATTAATTGTGTAAAATAAATTGTATATTTTAGTCTGTCTGTTTCCTTGTGGTGTACATCCCTACCCACGACGTCACAGATGATGTAGTTTTTTAATGGTGGCAGAAACCCACGGGGGAACGCGCACCATTTTTAATGATGGCAGCGGGTTTACGGAACCCCACGGGGGTATGTGCACTATAGTTTAATGATGGCAGCAGATAACGAAACTCACGAGGTACATGCAACATAGTTAAATAATGGTTGTAACAGTTTTGTGCTAGAACAACGAACAGGTTCTGGCAGTGCACGAAAGCGCGTAGCTAGTCGATACTGCATCCGCCGTACTTACTCCCTTTTCGGCCCATTGTCACCGCACAAGATGAAGTGACCTGAACCCTTCAACACTAGTGAGGCGTCATACGGGTGTAATCGAACACAGACGAGAGTGGTTTGTAAAACAGTAGATTTATTATCAATCTAGACCGTAGTCTCAATTTAACAACTATCCTGCTCACAATAAACTAAATAAATAGACCCAATACAAGGAGAGATAATTTAAGAACGGCTACCACACCGCAACATACCACCGATGTTCCCTGTATGAAGCCGCTCTACGTTGAGACCATCTACGCGTCTCGCAAGTCACGACAATGAATTGCCGGACCCTCGCCTTAGTGCATCTACACGCACAGACACGCGCTTCACCTGTCGCCGACGCCGCTAGAACAAGAAGACAGGGGCATTGTTCTCCTGGCCTTATATAGGCCCTTTTGGCGCTACCCGCCGCCCCCATTGCCTCCTCCCCAAAGTCGCTCTGGGCCCGCTACGTCCACGGAAAGTCCCAGTGCGTCATCACTCCGCCCTTTGTTTAACATCCGGCGATGCTCTCCGATTTCCACGTGGTTGTCTGTTTTGAGTGTGGCACGACGCCACAACTAGAATGCCAGGTGATGTGTAGCTGCAGCACCCCACACATAAGAAACAGAATAACCATTATTTTCCTAGGTGATCGAATTTTAAAATTGC